TATTACAACGCCAGAGTTAAGAAATGAATCTTTCACGTCGGCGACCTGGTCCTCCGCAAAATCATGGTACCTGAGCCTGGCATTGGCAAATTCGGGCCGAACTGGGAAGGACCCTACCGAGTGAAGAGAGTACTCGGGGGAGCATACGAGCTCGAGACCCTGGAAGGTAAACAGGTACCCTGAGCATGGAACATCGTCAACTTAAGACGATTTTACCTATAAATTATCAAACTAAGCTGGCCATGAGCCACTACCAGAGCCTAAGGGCCAGAATTCTGAGCTAGCAAAGACCTTGGCACCCTAAGGCCCAGAATGCCGAGCTAACAAGGACCACGGCACCAAAAGGGGCAGAATACCGAGCTAAAGATGACCTCGGTGCCTCATCAATGAAAGCAATCTGCACAAGTATGGATCCCGAGGTGCGTAGCCCAGGGCCCAATTCAGCCTATGTTAACTAACCCGGGCGGAGAGAACAGTTCGTGCACATAGCCTTACTATGTTAACTCGCCTCGGGGCTTAAGTCTAGCAGCTCGGGTATATAGTCACTTCGGCAAAAGGAGAATATTTGCACAACACTTTTGAACAGAAAAAATACTTCATTGATAAATGTTTGCTTTATAGTGTTAAAAAAAAAACAAACAAACACAAACAAAAACACAAACGAGCTCACAAGCCCGGAGGCACATATTCCTTGCCTTCAGAAGGGACTTCGATAATACCTAAAGGTCCCGCTTCATCTTCGGAATCCAGGTCGCCATCAGCTACGGCAGCCATCTCCTGAGTGATGCGCGAAGTGGTTATGGCACTAATATCGAGCTCGGGGTACGTGTTCCTTATCATCCATCGGCTCAACTTGAAACCCCATTTGTACGAGCCCACCATCATATCATCGAAATGCAGTGAAGCAATGTAATCCTCGACGGCTTTCACCTTCGCCTCCTCGACAGCCTGAGAAAAGATCTGAGTCTTCTCCCTAATATCTTCCTGAAGGTACTCGACCTGATGCTTCAGGTCCAACTTCAGGTCGGCCATATGTCTCACCACCATTCCTAAGGCCTCTTTGTCCCTCTGAGACCTCGATAGCTCGGCCCGCGCAACACGGGAAGCCGCCTCGGCAGCTTCTGCCCATTTCAAGCCCCTCTCCGCCTGGATCGCCAAAACATGGATAGAGGAGTTCACCTGCCAGAACGAGG